ACATCCAGTCCTTCCAAGTGACTCTGCAACATCTCAGGGCCAATGCTTGGTAGTCTGGCTCCCTGCTGTTGCCTGTCTACAATTCCATTCCCCAAGCAAGCTGTTGCATTAATACAATGGAGCCCAGGGCTTGCAGCCCAGGAATCCAATCCAAGAAATTTGGTTTTATAGTTCCACCCAGAGGGAGGTGCAGTATGCCAGACCTTTCGCCTAAGCGTCCACTAAAAGGTATCTCAGGGACACTTTGCCCTTTACATATAAAATATTTCAATTAAGGTAAGTTAAGCATGTATATTTAAGTGTTTTCAGAAGCAGAGATGTGGCATGCTCCTTTGTTTAGCTGGTACAGTATTTTCATTGGAGCCACAACACACTGGTTTTAGTTGCACCTGTTATTCTTTTTGAAAAATTACATATTATTATGTATAATATTTGTACACATCTCTTTGGTTTATAGTATCCTTTGTTATGAGTAGTATAAATGGACCAAGTGTATATCCCAATGAAATTTACTGTTATTAAATATAAATATTTAGTTGGATGATTTTGTTAGTCCCTTCTTCAGGTAACATTAATTTAAACACTTGCTAGTGTTTTTCACCTCACAGGGTAGTAGGCAAACAATTGTCATTATTGTTAACAGTGAATTACGGCGTTAATTTAATTTATTGTGCAGTGCAGGAAGATGTACTTTTCTGAATGTTCCATTTATGGATAGTAATACCTCATTTCTTGGAATTATTATGGAGCAGTCTCATGAATGTACTAAAACTGCTGTTCATAAAAAGTAAAGTAATTTTCATGTTATTTTACAGGTATGGGAAAATCTCTGTGTTCCTGCACAGCATTTTAACATTGTGAATGAATTGCCACCAAACTTCCACATAGTCATTCTGCAGCATTCAGAAGATGGGTATAAAACTCTATAATTTTGTTTTGTACACCCTTAATTTTCCTTTGCCAAATTTTTATTACCTTTCATTACCTAATTTTGGTGGGTTTGTAATTTAGGGAAAGTAAAAAAAAAAAAATCAGGAAAAATAACAATTGACCATAACTCAAGCAAGACCATAAACATTTTCTAAGTTTCTAGTTTCCACAAGTACTTCCTTCTCTTTCCCAGTGTTGGACTGAAGGGAGCCAAAATCCTTAGAGCAGTTCACAAAATTCTGCTTCATAGGACTGATATTTCCACTCTTCATCTTCCAGAGAATGGTGGGAAGAGTGAAACTCAGTAATTGGAAGACTTAAGACCTGTATTAACAGAAGGCTCTTTAATGAGTGTAGCCATAAAAGATTCTCTGCTGAAGTGTTTAGGTGTTCCTCAGTCCTAGTCTCTACAGGCCATATTTTTTCCTTTCTCTTCCTTTAGAGAGTTCTTTCTTCTCTCTCCTGGGTTATTAGAAAGGTGGAAAAGAAAAGCTCCAATGCAAAGGATACAATGTGTGAGTGGATTAAATGATGATCTGGCTCCACTTCTGAACTATCTAGATAGTGGCACATTACACCTGGTCTCATCACCTTAACTAACATCAGATAGAGTAAGCTGATTGCCAGTCAGCCACATATGTCGTTGCTAACATAACTGTAAAATCATAGAAAACTGAGGTTGGAAGGGAATTCAGGAGGTCATCGAGATTCTAGTCCAACCCATTGCTCAGAGCAGGACCATCCCCAAATAGTTATCATCTTTGTGTAGCCTGGTCTTAAAAACCTCCAAGGATGGAGATTCCACAACGTCTCCAAGAAAAGGATCTTGGAGTCATCATTGATGCCAAGATGAACATGGGCCAGCAGTGTGGGGAGGCAGTTAGTCAGGAAGGCCAACTGCACCTTGTCATGCATCCACAGATGCATCTCAAGCAGGTCCAAGGAGGTGATTCTCCCCATCTATGTGGCACTGGTCAGGCTGCAGCTGGAGTACTGCGTCCAGTTCTGGGCACCACGCTTCAGGAGGGATGTGGACAACCTGAAGAGGGTCCAGAGGAGGGCCACACGCATGATCAGGGGACAGCAGGGCAGGCCCTACGAGGAGAGGCTATGGGACCTGAACCTGTTCAGCCTCCACAAGAGAAGGCTGAGGGGGGATCTAGTGGCCTATTTCAGACTAGTCAGAGGGGACCAGCAGGCATTGGGGGAGTCCCTGTTCCCCCGAGCACTACCAGGAGTGACTAGAAATAACGGTCACAAGCTGGCAAAGGGTAAATTCAGTTTAGACATCAGGAGGCGCTACTTCACTATCAGGGCAGCTAGAATCTGGAACCAACTTCCAAGAGAAATGGTGCTGGCTCCTACCCTGGGGGTCTTTAAGACAAGGCTAGACAATCACCTTGCTGGGGTCATTTGACCGCAGTACTCTTTCCTGCCATGGCAGGGGGTTGGACTCAATGATCTGCTCAGATCCCTTCTGACCCTACTAACTATGAAACTTGTTCCAGTACTTTACTACCCTCCTAATGACAGTTTTTCCTAATATCCAACCTAAACTTCTCTTGCTGCAACTTGAAACCATTGCTCCTTGTTCTGTCATCTGCCACCACTGAGAACAGTTTAGCTCTATCCTCTTTGGAACGACCCTTCAGGTCATTGAACACTGCTGTTAAATCCCCCCTTGGTATTCTCTTCTGCAGAGTAAATAAGCCCAGTTCCCTCAGCCTCTCCTCATAAGCCACGTGCCCCAGCCCTCTAATGATTTTCATTGCCCTCCACTAGACTGTCTCCAATTTGTCCACATTGTTTCTGTAGTTGGGGGCCCAAAACTCACCTCACCAGTGCTGAAGAGGGAAAGAATGACTTCCCTTCATCTGCTGGTAATGCTGCTACTAATGCAGCCCAACATACCATTAACCTTCTTCATAACAAGGGTATACCAATGGCTTATATTCAGCTTATTGTCCACTGTAACTCCCAGGTTCATTTCTGCAGAGTTGCTGCTTAACCTATACTGGTGCATGGGATTGTTCTGTTCAAAGTGCAAGACTTTGCACTTCTCCTTATTGAATCTCATGAGATTTCTTTTGGTTCAATCCTGCAATTTGTTGAGGTCTCTCTTAATCCTAGTCCTCCAGTGTAACTATCACTCTCCCCAGCTTCGTGCCATCTGAAAACTTGCTGAGGGACCATCCCCAAATATATATCATCGCACTGTCCAGATCATTGATGAAGATATCAAACAAAACTGACCCCAGAACTGACTCATAGAGCACTCCACTTGATACCAGCTGCCAACTAGACATCAAGCCATTGATTTCCATTCTCTGAGCCAAGTAATCCAGCCAGTTTTCTATACACCTTACAGTCCATTCATCCAACCCTTATTTCCTTAGCTTGCTTGTGAGAATGTTGTGGGAGACCATATCAAAAGCCTTGCTAAAGTCGAGGTATATCATGTCCACTGCTCCTTCTGCATCCACAAAACTAGTCATTTCATCATAGAAATCAGATTGGTCAAGCATGATTTGCCCTTAGTGAATCCATGCTGACTGTTCCTAATCACCATCTCCTCCAACTGCTATAATAAACAATCATATTAGTGTTCACAGTAATAATCAGCTAGTCCAACTGGTTGCTTGAGTGGATAGCATGCCAATCAACTGCTCTGTGATTCAGTTCCATCATTTTATCTGTATCTAATGGAATCCCATGGTATCTGGGAGGGACATTTCTTAAAAGCATATGGAAGGTATCTGTGTGTTGGGCAGTCTCTGGGTTGTCAGCTTTGGATTTCTTGCATATTTTGCTACTTTCCTTAGTCCAAGGATAAATAATACATTCTGGATCTCTGAGCATTCAAGGCTAGAGGGTAATAATCAGAGATCTAACCTGATTAACAATCTAGTTTTCTCTGTTTAAAAATCCTAAGTTCTCTTATTAAAAAACCCCAAATCTGCATTTTTCTGCAAAAAATGAAACACTTCTAGATTTCATAGATTTCACAGACATTAGGGCTGGAAGGGACTTCATAAGAGCATTGGATCCAACCCCGCACCCAAGGGACAGGAAGTCAGGGTCAAAGGATCCCTCTGCTGCTTTGTGGCACTGAGTAGCCCTGACTTACTGGTGCCCCTCCCTTCTAGCCCCCCACCCCTTCCAGCCCTGCTGGTACCCCTTCCTTCTAGCCCCCCACCCCTTCCAGCCCTGCTGGTACCCCTCACTCCTAACTGACAGCCCCCTGCTGTCCCCAGCCCTACTGGAGGGGCTCCTCAGCTGCTAAAGTATAGGACCAGGGACAGGTCCTGTAGCCCGCTGCCTGCTCAAGCAGTGCCTGAGCCCTGTCTTCTGCACATCTGACCAGAAGCTGCTGTAGCCAGAGCAGAGCCCAGGCCCCTTCCCCCCACTTTGCAGGCAGCATGGCTGGAGCGGAGACTGTGCTGTCATCCCCCTGAGGGCCTCTGTGGCCCATCAGGTGGGACCTGGCCCTGTGGCACTTTCAAGAAACATTTGGATGTTTATCTTGCTGGGATCCTTTGAAGTATATGCAGGCATAAGGGGCTGGGGGGACAGTTTGAGGCCTCCATGGTTGGGGAAGGAATAGGGCAGGATTGGTGGCTGGGAGTGGCTCGTCCATGGGGTGGCCGGTGGGGGGCAGCTCCCTGCCACTGTGTGCACTCATGGGGGTGGGGAGGCTGTGGGGCACGTGCCCTCCCAGTTTTGTGCGTGGGAAAGGGGAGGATGTGAGCTGCCCACTGCAGGCTCAGGGCTCCCAGCCTTGCTGTCATCCCCCCCGAGGGCCTCTGTGGTCCATCAGGTGGGACCTGGTGCAGGACGGTGGAGTGGCTTGGTGCTGCCTTCATGGTGAGGTGCCTCCTGCCCACCTGGCAGCACTGGGGGCTGCAGCGGTGGTGGCACAGAGTTGTGCCCCCCTGCTGTTGCCTGGTGGGGAGGGGGTACCTTTCCATGGTGGTGCAGTTGGTGCGGGGCTCCCAGCAGTGGTGGCGGCAGTGGCAGCACCCAGCCTCTTTGCCCTCCCACACCGAGTCCCACCCACTGGGCTGCAGAGGCCCCTGGGGAGGCGGCAGCAGGGTAAGAAGCCTTGAGCCCCACAGCAGACAGCCTGCATCCTCTCCTGTCCCATGCACAAATCCCATGCACATGACCCTACCACAAGTGCACACAGTGGCAAGAAGCTGCCCCCCCCCGCCCCGCCAGCCCCCTGGATGAGCCACCTCCAGCCACCAATCCTGCCCCATTCCCTCCCCCACTATGGAGACCTCAAACTGTCCCCTCATGCCCCCATCTTCCACTCATATACTTACCTGCAAGCAGCTGGGGGAGCTGCTCTTCACTGCTGCCTGGTCGCATTGTTGGTTATGTGCATGTGTATGTGCCCCCTGTGCCCTGTTTCCCACTACCCTAGCCCCAAGCAACCCATTGCAGGCCTGAACTCTGCCAGTCTGCAAGGGGAATCCTGAGTTTCCTTTGTTTTTCTCCTTTAAAGGAGAAAATCTGCATTTTTCCATGGCAAACATAAAACCCAGATACCTGGTAATAATTAGTTATTCGAAAGGATGTTCAATACAAAAAAGGCTGAAATGTTTGTTTATTTGAATAGTCAAATATTCTATTCTAATTTTAACACTTTCCATAGATCAAGCCTATATAGCGCAATGATTAAGAAGCCAAAATTTAGCAGTGGACAACAGAAGGGAAAACCCATTCATCCAACAGGTGTGTATGCTTCTATTTAGGAAAAATATATCAACCTGATGGTAGCAGAGCCAGAGCTTGCTCTCACTGTTGCATTTAATACAGAAAATCCCAGTGCTTATGGTGTTACTTTGATGCCTGGAGATGTATTTCTGTAACTGCCATTGGAAGTTGTATGCATGCATGCCTGTACTTTATTAGCATATGTGGTACATGTAGTTAAGATATAAAATAAGCTCATCATGATGTTTCTAAGAAGCAAAGTGGCTGTAGACAGAAGAAAAAATTAGAAGCGTTTTCTTTATTTTATCCTTTTTCCATGGGTCAGGATTGACTTGCGTTCTTCGAGTATGACATGACAATGAAGGTTTTATTTTTAATATAGCATTGATGGAATGTTATTTTAGAAATTTATTGTGCACACTCTCACTCACTCTCTGCCACACTCTCTTCAATTAATCATATGATTTCAGCTGTTTTAAGAAAACGTTTTTTTCTTTAATAGTGCAGGCTAAAGTTTCTCGTATTTCTGTGAATCCTGACATGCTCTTGAGTTTGTTGGAGAAAGTACGTCTTTACAAGCAGGAAAGGATGAATAGTTTCCTTAAACAGGAGTTGCTGAAAAAATTGCATACTGGGAAGGCTTATTTTCAGAATTGGCAAGAAAGTTCTCCTGAACTAGAAACGGTAATATATTTGATTCTGTACCTTTTAGAGTGTATTCTTATTTTTAAAATAGGGTTAAAATATGCACTGAAATTTCATGAAAAATCTGTGCAAAACATGATTCCTCTAACATCCCCAAAGTATATACCAGATGCTTCCCAATTTATTCATCTTATAGGCTCTGTAACTGTCCTGTGCGTGCTCTGCTTTGAAACGTCTTAATAGAAGATAATTTGTTGTTCTGTCACTTCTTCTTTTAACAGCCTTGAGTGCCCTTGCACCCCGTGGCTGCAGTTTCCCAGCTGTGGGGGGTGTGACATGCTTCCCAGCAACTGGGAGATCTCAGTAGTTGCTGCCTCCCAGCCATAGGATTGCCTACACCTGCAAATTAAAGCTGGATAGAAACCAGCCCTAAAGTTTATACATTTTCAAGCAATAACTTTATAGCTGGTTGGACTTTTTAAGGTGAAGTAGTTAATGTGCACATGTAGGCAATCTAAATTTATTGTACAATTAACAAGGAAATTGCACAATAGTTATAAAATGTAGAGGGGACCACAGACATCCATACAGTAGCATGATTATTCACAAAATATAGTTAAAGCTTATGGGTAAGTCACTGCAGCATTGGGTCCTACATATACTTTTATGTACATGTCACACTTCCTTTTTCTCTTTTCTCTCCTATGAGATACACTATCAATTTACTTTTCTCTTTTCCTGATTTTCACTCATCCTCCCCTTCTTCCAACTACCTCTTTTCAGCAATTTATCTAGCAGTAAAACAACTGGTGCCAAAATAAACCAGTACATATGCATTTTACACTGAATGTTGCACTAAAAAAGGTGCAGAAGGTGCTGACAGCAATGAGATATCCAAGGATATGAAACATGATTAATTCAGTAATTTAAAGGAACTTGATTATTTTAATGTTGTTATGTTTCAAATTAGATACAAGCCACAATGATTCAATTTAGCCCTAATTAACATATGGTCCTTGTTGTCATTTAAAAGTCATTCCATTTTTCTACTTTGCATGATAGGATCTAACAGAAAAGATAAATGAAAATGAGAGAGAACTTACCTCAGATTTCTGTGAAATTTTAAAAAACCTGGAAGAATATTTGCAGCCAGTGCTGTCACAGTTTGATAGTTCTGATTTTAGGTAAGATTTTTTTCAAATGTTTTATCAGCTACATTTTTTACTTTAATATTTTAAAAAAATATTTATAAATTTAAGTCCTGATCCTGCATAACTTACACATGTGCTTAACTTTAAGCAGAAATATTGCTACATACAAATTATTCAAATTCTTAAAAATGCAACGTATGTGTAATCTTTGTAAATCATTGCAAGATTGGGCTATACATGGGAGTACTTGCTACCACTGGCAAATAATAAATCATTACACAAATATTAAAATCAGATGGAAACAATATTGAACTGTTAAATATTGAATATTTAAAAATACCTGGCATTTTTAAATCTCAGGGAATAAGTTTTAGGATGCATTGTTTCATTCAGATCTAGGCACTTAGTTTTCCTTGGCTCAGTGCATAAGTATTGATATTCATAATATTTAAGATACAATTTTTCTTCTCAGAGAGCAGAGCCAAACAGCTTCACCATCTGAGTCAGGAAAAACAAAAGCCAAGGATAAGGAGATGAAACATACTGCACCAGAGGGTAAGTGTTACATTGCAATTAATATTTAGAGACCAGATTTTAAAATGTTGGGTTTTGGGGTTTTTTTGCCAACAATTTGAATGTACAAGTAATTTAAGTTACTTGCCATAGATGTTAAGGGACTTGATTATGTCTACAAATTAGCCACTTAGATGGCAAAATGACCTACATTTCACCCAGGCCTATTTTCACCTTCATTTTTGCAAGGAATATCTTAGCTTACCGATCTGTATGAGCTCCAAATAGTCAAGGATTATGGCATTATAGAAAATTAGTCTTTTTGGGAGAAAGGCAAAAGCAAAAAGGATTTTTCTCAGGTCCTTCAATTTGTTTTGCTTTACCATTTCCCCTTCCCACCCCCCCCATCCCCCAATAGGTTGTTGGATCTTGGTACCTTTGTATTTAATACTGTCCTAAATCTGGACCATCTGTCTTAAGAGGCTCCAAGAGGAGATAGAGAGAGGGCACATTTACATGTGTGCTTTACTATTCAATACACTAATCTAAGGGTCAGTAAAGCATCACTGTCTTCATGTGCACACCAGTTACTGAGTGGCAGAGTAATGTAAAGTGCCATTAACTAGTACTGACAGATACAGGTACTGGCCAACAGCACTTTACATTAATGTGCCTGAATGCACGTGTAGAAGATGACCTGGGAGTAGATTGCTCCTGGTTAGGCCAGGCAACGGGGCCACAACTGCTGCTTGGCTTAAGTGGTGGGGTGAACTGTCCCCAGCTCCTAGGCAGCTCCAAACAGTGTGGAGCTGGGGGCTTATCTCAGCTCTTTTCCAAGGAGAAAAATTCCTCTGATGATTTAGATTAACTGGAGAGGGATTGCCTGGCTGGTTACAGCTGTTTTAATCCACGATTACCGCGGCCTTTGATAGACTTGATAATGTCCATTCAAGTATATCATGGTGCTGCTCTGGCATGGCACAGTTTGTAGGTTTAGATAACATATTGCTTGAAGTAGAAACATGGTATTGGTTAGCACTTTGGGGTGTGCAGTGTTAAAACTGTATCATCTGGTGTCTGTTACACCTAAGGAATTTGCCCGGAAGCCTTTCTTTCATGGTGAATATGAACTGAATATGAATTCCTTTCCATTTAGCAAGGTATATAATTTGATCCCATTCTCTCAGCTCCCAGGTATACCCAGAATGATGAATTGCCTGGGCTACAAATAGCACACAAATGGCAAAGTTCAGGTTGAGTGGTGACTGTGTTAACTGGCTTCTTCCACCTGTTGGCTGTCTCCTCCCAAAAGTTTCAGCCCAACAAACTGGGACAACAGAAAGGTGCTGTTCTCCAGCCCCAAGAGCCCTGGATCTTGGGGTGTTCCCTTGTTTACCTCTGCAAATAGCGATCACCTCTGTTTCCCCTCCAGGGACTCACCTGTGGTCTAAGCAGGGCAGTGCCTCCAGGGAATGTCAAAGCCCTCCTTGAACAGGCTCTCCAAGGCACCAGCTCCATCCCTGCCCAGAGGTGATCGCTGTTTACAGAGGTAAACAAGGGAACAAGCTTTCTGCACAGAAAATTCAGACACATTAATTGCATGTATAGACATGCCCAGAGATAGTCAAATCTAGACCTCATCTTGTGGACTATTTTGTTTAGTTTTTGTTGTAAGAAATAATGATATTTCTCAATAAAAATGAAAAAAATATACACTGGTAATTGCTTTTCAGCCTTGTCTGTCAAGACTGTTAGATTGTGGGGAGTGGGGGAGGGTTTATTTCCTCATATGAAGTTTGGCAGCTGGTTTCTTCCATCTTCCTAGTTGATCTCCGCACATTTGTATTACTATAAAAGAAGATTCTTTGGTAGTATGTGATCAGTCCTCTTTTTGAGTAATTAACCCATGTTAATTACGATGTTTTTGTACAGTAAGATATTCCTGTTTAAGTGTAAGAGTTCCTTTTAAAGGTCTTTTAAATGTATTTCGTTGTTAGGCAGACAAAGCTCTGTGGGTGAATCTTATTAGACCAACTTAAATAGTTGGAAAAAAACTATAAAAACTATTTTTTTCCAACTATTTAAACTGGTCTACTAAAAGATATCAGATTCACCCAAAGAACCTTGTCTGCCTATGTACTTAGACCAGCACAGCTACAACCTATACCCCTGTTTCTTTGTTAGGATGTTTTCTGTCAGAACTGGCAACTGTGTATTTCATAAAATTGTTTCCCTTTGCCAAATTATATATATTGCAAATCTCTGTAAGGTGTCTCCAAAGATGGTATGGGTATTAATAAGGGTATATATTGTCTCCATAAATTCATATTCTATGAAGTCTGAAGAGTCTGTAAGGGCCAGCAGACAGGAAAAAAATGTGGGATAGTGATTTACTTCATCTGAAGTATGAAAGATAAAGGGAAAAAAACATTTCATAAACAAATATAATTAGTAACATATATATTAAGGAATAATTGATTTCTTCCTAGATACACCTATGGATTTAGGAGAGTATTTAATATTACTAGCAGACAAATTACTTATGGAGCTACCTTTGGAAGCTCTGAGTATCTTTCAAGAGGAGGCAATATGTTCTGTATCCAGAGACTTTTCTCTCCAACTTCTGTACAATCGAATACATATAGAGGAACCAGGTACAATTACTGGAGTATTCTTTGTATTCCAAAACAAGGATGTAATAAAACCAAGTATTTATTATGCTATTCATATAATTTACATTGTACTAAGAGTGTCTTATATAATTGAATTCCTAGTAATAGTGACTGGACTATCTGCTACCAAAAATATATTACAAACGTGAAATATTTTCAGTAATGTACAGAATTATGGGGTGGGGGTAAGCATTGACAACAGAGAAGTAAAAAATAAATCAATTATAAGATATACCTCAAATAACCATCATGCATTACAGTGATGCCTGACTGCCACGCTGCCCTTGGAGCAAGAGTCATCTGTGCTTACTTTATTTAATCAATTATTGCAGAAAGTATTGAGAAATGTAATCTCATTTTTTCCGGTTCCTTCAAAACCATTTAAAACATTCAGACGCTCTCAACTACAGGTAGTTCATTTTCCTTCAAGAGTGTCAAGAATGTTCACAAAGGTATTTTTGGTCATTTAACTGTTCAGGTGTTAACATAGCGTGCAAGTCTACACAAGCCACCCACTGCACAGTTGTTACTGCACAGTCATTTAGTACTTGCATAACCAAGCACTAAATGACTGTGCAGTAACTGGCATTACTGCACAGTAGCATCTTGGCATGGTTTCCTAGTGGCACTTACTGCACAATACTGTTGCGTCACAGTTCATACCAGTAACAAGCTACTGTACAGTAAGCCTCTCAGGTAGATGTGACCACTTATTCAGACTGATAGGGGCTATTTTTCTGTTTCTTCAACAATGAATTATTCTTTCCATTAGTAGTATTCATATTTATTTAAATACTTGTCTACATTTTGTAAAAATAAATATTTATTTAAATGCTGACATACTTCATTTTTCAAAATGCCCAGAGTCTCTATTAAGATAGAAAACATTACATGCAGCTAGTTGCTGAGGACTAATTAGGTAATTTCTTTCAGTGAAAGAATTCACACAGTAATTCAGTGAGCACCAAGTCTATAGTAAAGCTTTTATATTCTTTTTTTCTACAGAGAATGAAGTAAAAAAAGATGTTAAAAGTTCAAAGGAGCCAAAGCCAAAAGCAAATCAGAAAAAGAGCATAAAAATAGTAAGCAGAACTAATTCTTAGCTTTTAACATAAAAGAGTGCTAATGTCTATAAGGAGATACAATTTTAAAGATATCTCATCTCATAAATGTGGAGTTACAGTTTTACACATTTTTTCTTGAGGTTTTTCTAAAGATGTGTTGGTGAAGAAGGGCAACAGAATAATTTGTTTTCCCTGTTTAGCTGTCACACACTCCTTTTTAGCACTGCAAATGTCTGAGGAAATTGCACTGCTAGAAATCATGGTGAGAGGGGGGAATATACAGGTGCCCCAGCCTGCAACTACCTCCTCACCTTTTCAGGCAAACTGGAGCTGAGTTCTGGCCGTGGTGAAGTAAGAGTCCAGAGGAGAGCCATGTGTATGATCAGAGGGCAAGAGAACAGGCCTTATGAGGAGAGGCTGAGAGCAATGGGACTCTTCAGCCTGGAAAAGTACAGGCTCAGGGGTGACTTAGTGGCTGCCTATAACTATATAAGGGGCGTATATTAGGATCTGGGGGAACGTTTGTTCACCAGAGCACTCCAAGGGATGACAAGGTCAAATGGTCACAAACTCCTCCAAGACCATTTTAGGCTGGACATAAGGAAAACCTTCTTTACTGTCTGAGCCCCCAAGGCCTGGAATAGACTGCCTCCAGAGGTGGTGCAAGCATCTACTCTGGACTCTTAAGAAACATTTAGATGCTTATCTTGCTGGGATCGTTTGACCCCAGCTGACTTCCTGCCCCTTGGGCAGGGGGCTGGACTCGATGATCTTCTGAGGTCCCTAATGTCGATGAAATCTATGAAATTTCTTCCTTGGGGAAGTGCTTTCCTGTGATCCCGATCTAGAGACGGTGGTGGGGGCAGCAGCAACTCAACTTTTCTCATACCAGGAAAAATCTAGCAGCAGGAAAATGCCTCCCATGCCTTCCACAGATGGGAGTTACCCTGGTCTTGGGAAGGCATAGGGGGCATTTCCTCAAGGCCAGAGCTTGGCTCCAGTTGCAGGGGAGAGAAGGAGTCAAGGAGCAGTGTTATGCCCCTTATGCCTTTCACAGACCAGGGGCACCCCAGTCTCTGGAAAGTGAAGCAAGCAGCAGCTAATTGATCCTTCCCAAGCCCCAGGATGAATCAAGCAGTGGGGATATGCCACATAGAGGTGTTCATTTTGGTGCAAGAAACTCTTGCTCAGACAAAAATCTTCGGCTGCATCCAGACAAGCAGGGGCATGCACTTGCAGCAGCAGAAATTGCCTCAGTAGACAACCCTGCATTTGCATTTCATTGCAGGATAAATTGTCCTGCAATGGGCAAACTGCCCTTGCCCAGCTCTTCAGCCAGGGAGAGCTGGAGGCTGAGGCTAGCACCTGTGCTGGTGCCAGCAGTCTTATCTGGTGGGCTGGTAGCATGCTGGAACAGCAGGGGCATAGTTCAGGCATCACCAGGGCCTGGCCAGCAGCCAGAGCTTTGCTCTGGACAGCCCAACCTCCATATGTGCCAGCACATGCTTGTTTTGAATGCTTTACACCGCTTATGTTTCTGGGGGTGTGGGGGTGTTGCTACCGGGAAATCCCAGTATCAAATTTTGCCACTGCACTGCATATTTGTAGCACAGTGCATGTTTCAGTGTTTCCTGCTTGTGGTTTGTGGCACTATAAACCACATGCCCCTGCTCATCTGGACACGGCCTTTCTGGGCAAAAACTGAAGATCAAGAAACCATATGAATGCCTGTATACTCTCAGCATTCCTCCTGTTAGAAGCTAGGGCCTGTTCACACCCATTGTAAGTGTTAAATGGAATAAATATCGGATTTTGTGATAAGAATCCAGATCCTTCATCTTTTCTCAATAATTCCTGAGTTGCTTTTTCCTTATTCTGTTTATCAGTGATGGTACACAACAGGAAATCACTTCAAATATACTTGAGCTACTTCTCATCAACAAAATAATTGTTGCCTATGCTTTTGATTTTAGTTGGTGCTGGCATATAGATCTGATTTTTCACCTATGCTTCTAGCATTCGGTAAACCTTTTGAATATCTGATTTTGTCAGACCCGGTTATGTGTTATTGATATACCTTGTGAAAAAGTAATCTTTATTATTATTTAATTGTAGGTGCCAATTAATCGTGTTTTACCTTCTAATTGCATGCCTGTGGATATGAATAATTTTAAATGTATCCTTTAAAAGTTACTGTTATCTAAGATATATCAGTTTTCAGATATATCTAAGATTACAGATTTCATTGTTTGCATCTTCTTAACTGTGTATCAGATATTGTGGATCCATATAATGAAACGAAAGAAACAGGTAATGTTTAAAGTACTTGTCTCCCAAACTGGAGTTGTAACATTAAAGTTGTTGACTAAACAGCTCTTTCTGATACATGTACTCACGTAATCATTAGTGACTTTTGATGATTTCTTCTGAGTTTTTTTTAATTTTTTATAAAAATTAAAACCTGATTCAGATTCAGTTACTTGTCAAATTAGGCTGCATTCTTCCATCAAATTAGAAATCAAATATTAAATTTGTATCTCAAATAAATTATTTACTTAATCTTTCTCACTAGGTTTTCCCCCCAAAATACACAGCTTATTAGCAAGAACTTGTTATAACATTTTTAATTAAGATGGCCAGCTATTACTTAAGCACTATACTGAGGGCCATAAGTGGATTAAGCAGGTAATAGTGCTGAGTATACTGCTAAGGCTGTAGAATGTCTGTGTCCTTCATAAGATCAGAACAAACTCTAATGAGAGCCGTGGGTTAGGAGAAAGGTAAAGGAATCCAGTCACCCTTATGTAGTATCCAAGAGTTGTTGCTAGCTCCAGGGAGCTGCTGTATATTTGGTCTGAACTGTAACTCCACAAACTGGCCTCAGCTCATGATGGTAACTTTCAGCTCCTAACTCCTCTGTTGTCTTGCATTTCACCTGCACAGAGCCTGATCACTGACTCTATGCTGGTCTTTTGGATGAACAACCCAAGAGAAAATATTGGACACTTCTTGAATGCTTATCTAGGATTCTTGCATTATGTATTACTGAGATTTATTTCTTCCTAAATACCTGACTGGTGCAGTTCTTACATTGCAGAAGCAATAAGTCCTTCTAAAAAAATAAGGGAAATCCTACAAAAATACCAGGAGCAATTTACGTCTCATTGGGAAGGTGTTATTGGAAGCATTCATGTTCCAAGGTTAGTAATTACTCTTCTATGTTGCTCTCCATTTTACTTTTTTTTTCAATTGCAGTACTTCCCAAAGGCCCCATTCAAAATTAGGGTCCCATTGTGCAGATATGTGATGGCTGCCCCAAATGTACCTTTAGCTTTGTAGACAAAAGTTTTCAAAAAGAATCCAGGAAACAAACCTGGAAGAAACTTAGCCAAACTGGTAACGCCAAGACTGCAGGATAAGTGGATATTCTCATGAGTATTGATACTGCCTATTGGAATGTTAGTACAGCCTATTGGAACAGTATTTTTTGATTGCAATAAATGGAGTCTTAGAAAATAGTAATGTAAACACTGGAAAATTTAAAGACCAGAAGTTTTGCTGCTAGTCAATAGAGTCATAAATTAGTATTCCAGCAAAGTAGTAGGTGAGTACACTATTTTGTTACTCAATTCATTCTTCTATGGACCTTACAACTCCTCCTGTCCTCAGACAGTTAAAAAACATTTTAATATATAAAATGTTTGCAAACTGTTGCTTCTGTATGGACATTATGATATTGCAATATGGGAGCACAGAGTTCTGAAATAAATCAATGGAGATTTATCTCACAATGTACAATTTTGAGGAGATCTGATAGTAAAAGTATAATAATTTTTACAGTTAATTAAATTAATTCCATGTATAAATATTTAAATGTTACCCAAAGAAATTAAAATGCAGCAGCTCAGTATTGCCATTATCAGTGCATTATTTACTATGAGATGTTAGACTGAGTCTGTATAAACTTCTATTGCAAATTCTGCTTCATAACATTTTCTCTGTCTTTTTGCTTTATATATATTCTTCCAAACAATTGCTTGTTGAGTAACTAACACTGAAAACATTTCCATAGATGTCTTTGAAAAATATTTTGTGAAATATTAACATAGTCTAAACAACTTCTTGCCTTTGCTTGCAGTCAAGCTGAATGGGAGCAGCTACTGAGTAAAAGCAGTGCATTTCTGTTCTATGGGATGGAGAGATTCTTATCTCATATTTTACTTGACAGATTGGTTGCTGTGAATATCCCAGGTGAGGAAAGCAAACTGAAAAGGAATAGTTGGTATACTCTTTTCTCACTAATAATCATAAAATTATATTTATCCCATACCAAATAATTATTAATATTACTGTTCTGCAGTAAAGGGCACATTTCAACACACAGCTGAAAGGCCATGCTCTTCATTTAAGCTATTCTCTGTTTAATACTGTCAAGCCCTGCTGCTGGCACAGGTGCGATCACATTTGTGTTAGGAAGGAGCTTGGATTGTGGCAGAATGGGAACTGCAATTTCTAAGCACCAGTCATAAACCTGTGTTCTGTTTGAAAAGGGGGATACTGGAAGGCAAAAAAGGGTCCCTCTTTCCCCCTCCTCACTTTCCAAGCTAGCTTTGTGTTCAAGTAAAATAAGCGCTTTAGGCAGCAGGTGACCAAATCAGAGACTCATGAAGATTTCACTCCCCCCAGAAATGCCTGAGAGGAAATCCCAGCTGATAGTAAGCAAGTTGCTCATAATCTAGGGATATAATCCTTGATATCTCAGGTTTTCCTGGCCAAACTGTCTTCAACCCTTACTATCAAAACCAGCATAGCTGTCTCTTGCTTTTTATCAGAACCAACAATAGTTAAGAAGATTGTGCTTTCTTAGCAGAAGGAAATTTCTGTACCAGAAGCTTCCAGAGATATCTGCATGGGAAATGCAAAAAAAGAGCATCTGCGCAGGAGCACTCACAATGACTAATCTGCTTTTCAGAACATAGTCACAGTAAGACATGAGTTGCTAGCTATGTGCAGGCAACCTTTCAGTTAACGCTGTGTCCAAAGAAGCAGATTTGTGGAGTTGCTGAGTGGGAATAAGTTCTTTCCAATGTGGAATTAGTTGTCTACTTCAAACTACATCAAAATATCCTTTTACAGGCAGGCAAATATAAAAGTGCCTCCTGCCCTACTCTTGCACACTTGCTATGGAACAACCCCTTCAAACTGGAGAGCGTACTTGCCAGACAAGTTTCCAGAATCCCTGAGTACACATGCTTTTAGTTTACTTAGGCCATTCTGTAGATTATATGCCTGAACCAAAGGAATATACCTACAAACCTGCCCAAGTGGGATCAGATCAACAGTCAAAGTCCAACAACCAGCAGCAGATGTTTAAAAAGGGGCAAAAAGCGATGTAGTGGCTACTTTTGGTGCCAACAATGGAAATCTCCTATGTACTGTTAGAAGTTGCCTTATTATGAAGGCATCAATGTTCATCTTCTTTTGAAAAGAGTAATGTTGAAGTAGAAATATCATCATGTTCAAAACAACAGAATCTTAGGGCCTCGTATTGCAAAATGTTAAAATTTAGTACCAGGTGGCAAGCTAGGCGTGTTGGAAACCTATCATAGATGTCCCTAGGAACACTGGGGGAAAATGTACAAAATTTGTCAACTAAGTTCTGTTCCTCTGCAAATTCATCTGGTAGGAAATTGTTAATGGGTTGGGTCTGATTATGGCATGGGTTCTCAAGGCCTGACACCATGCCTTGCTCTGGTATCACAAGTGTACAGATAGAGTGGTATAACACTCCACTCTGTCTAAAATGTCCTTTTGCCCAGTTGAGTTCATTCTGAAGGTTGCTTGGGGCATGATAGTGCATTGTGCTGTGTACACAGGTACATCATCCTTAAATGTATAGGGATGGAATGTCCATTCCTGGCTCCTGTTGATCTCTAATAATAATTAAAACTCTGCTTAATCTTCCTACTCTACTTCTGTGATTTGCTGCTCATTATTTCCCAGTAGTGATAAATGAGAATAATGCTGTGACTGTGCAACAGAATGAGAAATTTCTTACCTGCTAATTTTCTTTTCTTCTGTTAGCATCATCTCTGCTCATTCAACCCACCCTGATAGTCTGATAAATGGCCAGAATACAAATTGAAGCTTTTTCCTAAAGGGAGACTTAGACATCTAATTGTCTCAAGGTTAATTGATTCATTATATCAAGTTATTACCTTAATACTAATAATTAATTTCTGGAGCGTTTCTACAGCTTCGGAAAAATTCTCCTGGTGGCCTGAGCTGAAGGGTGGGGTTTTAGTACTAGAACATTCAGAAGCCATACTGGCCTGCCTCCAGGTTCTGTAGATGGGGGCATTAACTCATTCACGATAAATGAAGAGAGTAGTTGCTAACAGAAAATTGTCAGATTAATTTTTCATTGCTCTTAGAATGGTTTTAGGTCATGTCCATAATACAGACACTTTTCCAGTATATTACAGATATAATAAATCAGCAAAATATTCTCAGTGTGTACCTAGCAAGCTAGCAAAACTGTCCACACCCCTAGCCATCCTAGGTGTATAGTCTAAATTAAAGTTTTCAGCAGCAGATCCCATGGTACTTAAGGTTGTGGTTTTTTATTAAACATACCTTCCTCTGTTGTTTGGAAGCAGATTTTTCTCTTCTGAAATTTGGTTTCCTCCCATTGTATCCAAATATCTTAGGCAGACATAAAATGTGGCAACTTTTCAAAGGTAACCTCTAATATTTGAGCCTAAATTTAAATCAGAGAGGGCATGTCTATCGGCGCACTACAGTGACATAGCAATCACATGAGTCTACACGTAATCACCAGCTACATCTACATCGCCGTAGCAGCCCACTCCCCACTTATAGTGCATTACTATGGCAACATAGCGGTGAAATCCAACCATGCGCCACGCTAATGGCACAGTAACCACCCATACTGTACCATGCTTTACTACTTCCAAAAGGAAGTAGTAAAGCATGGCACTGTAGCAATGTCACCATATGGCAACATGTAGGTATGCCCAAAGTGATTTACTCTGTATAAGGAGTGGACACGTGACCAGCTGTCCCAAGATAGCTGCCCCTAATAGGAGCAGTTAAAGTGCCTGAACACTTGGTGGGGAGAGCTGGTTGCTGCTCCATTATAAAATAGATACAGGGGTGGACATGCAATCAGTGTAATGCTGTAACTCACAGGAGCTACTTCTCAAGTGATGACTTCATACTAGAGTGGAATGATATGATCCCAGTTTAAGGCGGTACATTGTGTGTCCACTCCACTTTTACCCCAGAGTACAGTCAGTTTACTGCAGAGTGTGACTATGTTGAAAGTTTGACCATAGCTGTCTAACAACCCGATTTCTTTGAAAAATATTTAGGCATCTATAAACACAAATAGGTGCCTATTTGCCTCCTTAAATTCTTGAGTACCTTTACAAATTTGACCTCAAGTCCTAAAATATCTCTTTTTCTTAGCAGAGCTGCCAGAATTAATTCCCTGTAAAAAGTTCACTATTCAATCACCTAACAGGATTGAATATAATTTAAAGGGAAGGTGTATTCACAAGTTGTTCTGCTTTCAGTTCACCTGCACAAATTTTCACAGTCCCAGTTTGACAGCCCGTAATGTTTTCCTGCAGGCTATAGGCTGAACCAGATTCAAAGCCAGTTTTTCACTGAGGTCAATACATTTATTTGCTCATAAGCCTTCACTGAACTGTGTCTTCACTAAACATATCAATATAATTCACTGTCATTAAAGACTAATTTTATTTTCTATGAATGGAGATTTCATATTTACCAGTCTGCCTACAGTTTTCCATATTTAATAGTTTTTGAGAGGTTTTAAATAGTCATTTATAAAGGACAGATTTTTTTTTTAGAATTACAGTAGGTTTTTGTATTTTTCTCAAATATTCAAGAATACAGTGCAGGAATTAAAAAACTTGCTAAGGAATTAGTCAGTTCTGTATTTTTTAATTTGGTTGCACTGGCACCATAAATTAATAGCAAACATTTGGAAAAATCATATTTGATTTATAAGGCACTGGGATAATCTCCCAGAATAGTACGTATATTATTTAAAATCGTACTTAAATTTAAATCAACAGATAGACAGCTGATATTCTGCTGTAAATGTCAGACACGTCATTGCTTGCAAAATATTATGGAATCTGTTTGGATAAAATTCAAATAGCAGACTTGGGTTGAAGCTTGTCCTACAAAGATTAGAGCTCAGTCATACAGGTAATTCCGCAGAGCTTAGTTCTTCCTGTCTTGAATAAAGTTGTAGTACTGAGACCTGTCAATTATTTTTCCTATTAATTGAATGAATATTGTGCTAAGGACCTCTGGGATCTGATAGTATTAGGCACTGTAAAAACACTGAACAAAAAGAGATGTAATAATAGAAATGTTTGCTGAAATATGCATGGTCAGCTATCAGATGACAAGGGTAGTTAGTAGCAAAGCCAAGGGGTTAAATCAGGGGTATCAAATATACAGCTTGCAGAGCTTCTCTGTCTCACCCACTGGATTATGTGTGGGCCCAGGAGTTTGTGGGAAAGGCCAGTGGTGAGTAAGACCTGATGTAGAAACGGGGGCCCCAGCTGACATGGCCATTGCAGCAGGAGGTGAGCAAGTCTTGCCCTGCCACCTTTGCCACAGCATCTGCCTGTCCCTCAGCCACTTGCCTCCCTACTGCTGCTCTGGGTGCTTATCTCATGGCTGAAGCTGCTACCAGTGCCTTGGCCCAATTACATCCCATAAGGAGCCCCCTGTTCTGGATCTGGCCAGGGCATAAGGTAAATTTGACACTCCTGGGATAGATAACTAAATTATAGTAAGGAAAGAACAGAAACTGGCCATGGACAGACATGCTGTCTGAAGTGCTCCAAGTGCCTTTGAAGCACTACAAACAGCAAGGGTGCAGACATTCATGTTCAGTGAAGCACTTAAAAATAACTCTCAGAAAGGAACATCTTTGAAGTGGTTACTTTAGAAGCTTTTCCTGACATGGTCACTCCCTCTAGTGGAGTGTGATAGGAGGATGCATGATCCCAGGCATCCCACAGTGCTCTGCTTCCCCTTCTTCACCCCCACCTAGGGGGGTAGTGGGGAGCCAGTAAGCTGTCTCATGTGCATTCAACTGTTCTTGAGAAACTGGAACAGAGAGGCATACCTGTTCACCATCACCCTTGATGGCAAACACTGCTGCTACATTTTCTCGCAGCCATTTTGAAGTTCTGGGCAGGGGGACATCTGCGCAGACCTGGAGATGCTTTGACTTTGAAGAGCTCCAAATGGGAGTGTGATTTGGACCACCTCAAATGGATTTCTGCCCATACTGTCTGAGTTAATTTGGTTATACCTTGTTATTAATGTAAGTACTGCTGAAATAACAGATTTTTTTTTTCCCCAGAGTGCCGGTTGATGATACTTTTAGATCTGATGCGGTCAACTCAGAGTTGTCAACGACTGACAAAGACTGATACATACAAAAGGTCAAATAAATTTTGTTTTAGTAATATCTCTATTAAGCCACATTCTACTTTTTCTTTAAAAGTAAATTTAAAGTTCTGTATGCCAAATTTTATCTACTTCTGCAGGCAGAAAGAACTCCTATTGAAGTCTGAAGTTAGGATTTGGTCATTTTTCTCCTGTGTTGTATTTTATCAGGGCCATGTTACTAAAGATAAATAGAAGAGTATAGCAAGGATCTGTAGAAACAAAATTACAGAAGTCAGTGTACAAATTTATATACAACAACCAAAATTATTAGAAGTCTAGAAAAGATGACTCACAAGGTTGGGAGAACCAGGACTATTTAATCTGGAGAAAAGAATCCCGAGGGGGAAATATGGAAGTTTTCAAGTACAAAGAGTTGTTACAAGGAGGATGGTAATCCTCTGTTCTCCATGTCCACCAAGGACAGGACAAGAAGTAATAGACTGATACTGGAGCAAAAGAGATTTAGTATTTATATCACAGACATTTTTCTAATTATGGTAATGTTTAAGTACTCTAAGTTAAAATTACCTAGAGAGATTGTCATATTTCTATCACTGAAAGTTTTTAAGTGCAGATTAGATAAATATTTTCTCTAAAGAGTTTTAGACTAGGATGTAACTGCCTTGATCAAGTAAGGAGTTGGGCTTAGATAACCTCCTGAGTTCCCTTCCAGCCCTATTTTTCTATGATTCTGTGAACAGTGAGGAGGTGACAAGCCAAAACTCAAAAGAAAAAAGGGCAAAGAGAACAGAAACCTTTCACTATGTGACCTGAACCTGGATGCTGTGAAGTCAGGATTTTTAAGTCATTCCAGTTAAATCAATACAGCATTTTTATAATAGACAAGACCTCCACATTCCTTTTAAAGCTTCATACACTTAATAGTTTGATTCTCAGCCAAGTGATTGTCTTTTACTGGAATAATATTTTTGAAGATGCTAATTAACTTTCTTGCACATGTTTACTATTGCTGACCAAGGGTGTTTAACCTTGAAGACTGCTCTGTCTCCCTGGTGTCACATAATTTCCTATATGAATTATTGACAGAGTAAGGCCTTTATCTTTGCTTCTAATGCCCAGGGCCAGATTAACTGGGTAATGGGCCTTAGGCAAACAAACTGTGGGCCCCTAGTTAATATATATATAAAGTGACACCAGGGAGACAGAGCAGTCACATATATATGTGACACCAGGGAGACAGAGCGGTCTTCAAGGTTAAACACCCTTGGTCAGCAATAGTAAACATGTGCAAGAAATTTAATTTACATATATGTATATATGGACATATGTATGTGTGTGTGTGTGTATGTGTATATGTGTGTATAAATCCACGTATGTAGATGGGCAGCCTTGGGGAAGAGTTGGATTGAGCCGGGTGATGCCCCTGAGCTCAGGCAGCCCTCGGCCTGCTAGCCACCTGCCTGGCGAGCACTGCCACTGCAAAGGGAAGGACTGGGGCCCCCCACAGCTCAGGGCTGTAGGCATATGCCTAGCTTACATATGCATTAATCTGGCCCTGCTAATGCCTTTCAAATAATTTTGTAAAATGATATCAAATCCTCTGTCTAATAATTGTTTAATTTGTCAATAAACTTATAACCCATGCCAGCATGCTAAGGCCAAGTGATGCACTGGATTTTGGGTCCTTAGGGTGCCAGTAGCCCTGGGAGTCCATCAGGCAGATCTACTGACTGAGGTGTCCCATGGAGAGGTGTGTTCGTGTCCCTCACCCTCACCACCCAGGAATGTGCTCTGAACCTGATGAACACATTATGCTTCATTATAGACAACCAATTTATATACAGAAAAATAAACAAAAAATGTAATTACAATGGTTAATAATAAAACTAACAATTTAGATACAATTTACAACTACAACATTAGGTGGATCATTCCAGCACACTGGGTGGTCCCACTTGTGTTAAACAACCTAAATAATTAAATTCACTTTGTTATAACTCTTTAAAACAGTTGCGCCCCATAACTCCTTTAATCCTTCCTGGCAACACAGCAAAACAGGCTCTGAACAGCTGCTGCAGGCAATAGGCTGCCTTTTGTTTCCTTCTGGAAATACATTTCCTGCAAACATTAGTGATTAGCAGGGATCCTGGTTTTACATTTCTCATGGAAAAACAGAGGTGACCACAGATTTCCCATTTTTATCAGAGAAAACACAGATTTTCTCTTTTACAAGAGAAACCCACAGATTTCCCCCTTGTGCAAAGAGCTCTGCAGGCTGGCAGAGTTCCAGCCTACAAGAGCTGTTTGCAAAAGGGGTGGGGAAACCCTCAGTCCTGCCAGGAGGGGAAAGGAGCAGGGAATGGCAGGGCCTGACACTCACACTTACCGAAGGCTGCTTCAGGCTCACTCTTCTTGCTGAAGGTAAGTGGGGTTTGGGGG